CTGAATCATCAAACAGAATGTGTTGGTTTTTATTTTATTCTTCCTCTGATGCGCTTGTTACTTTGTGGAAACGCTTTTTATGGGCTGCGGGAATATATCATAGGCAAGGAAATATTTAAAAATGTATGTAAATATATACAAAAATTAATGCTTACTCTTTAGCTGTGTCAATCGTATATAGGATTTATTACAAATATCACAACTGTGCCGCATAGTCTTGTGGGAAATGCGATGCAAATTCAACGATTTCTCGAATTTGAAACGTTGATTGCAATCCGGGCAACGAAAATTTCTACCTTTTACTAATTAAAAAAAGAAGAACACATAAAAGTAAAATAATCACTGATAAGAACTGCGATTAACTAATATACGCACGCACCCTCGTGAACTTGACCATGAATTTTAAGAGCTGTTCTTGTAGAGAACGCTTTCGGACATTTTTCGCATCTATAGGGGCGCACATCAGCGTGATGTTGCAAATCATGCCGATCTAATTCTGAGAAATGCTTAAAGTGCATAGCGCAATCAGGACATGAATATGGTCGATCTGCCATCACAGCATGTACTCCTAGATGCTTGATGAGCGCATATTTGGAGCGATATTTACGCGGACAATGTGCGCACATAAAGCCTTCATATTGCGGTGGAGAAGAGGGGTCAGGCTCTGCGAGACGGTCAGCCTCATTACCTTGTTGATGGTGTTGTTTTATGTGTCTGTGCAGATTGATGTCGGTGGAGAATTGCTTTTCGCATTTTGGACAAGGCACAGTGCGTTTGGCCAACTCAATGGGATGGTAACGCTCCAGATGGGCACGTTTTTGAATATGTTGTGTAAATTCTGAAAATAAATAGGAATAATTTAACCAGTGCTGTGTTGATTCATTTGTTTTTTTTTTTTAGCGTTAATACTTTCATCACAGTAGTTGCATTTTAGCGGTGCTTCACCCTCCCCGTGAATGGCATAGAGGTGTGCACGAAGTTCCCATTTACTGCGCGTGCCTACGAAGATATAAAATCATTGAAATAAATATCTATTTAAGTTCACTTAAGCGAGAAACAAGTTAATATATTTGGAATTAATTTATTTATTCTCCTACATTTTATTTATTCTCCTCTTCTCAGATCATATTCGATCTTTGAAATCGAATCAAAAATAGTCATTCAAAAACTCATAAATCTACAAAATCGTATTTTCTTACCTAAATCGACAGGTCGCGGCCTCTAATTGACTTAAGAAAAAAATCTATAATAATAGGCAATAATATTTCTCATAAAAACGAATAAAATTAGGGGATAGGGTCTTGAAATTAAAAAAAAAAAGCATTTCCGATGTACATACATATGTACTTATGTATAAGGAGTATTTACAGTGGCGCTCAAAAATGGATGAATGGTGTTTCGTTTCGAATATTTACAATGTTTTTCAAGTTAAAATTTTTCTGATATTTTTTTTATAAACCTTCATGCTTTAACAAAACCTGGTCAAATCAAACTTTCAAACTTTATACAGAACTTAGAAAAATTCCAAAAGATTTTATCTAACTTTCGAGCTTTTTAACGAGAATTTTTACAAATGTTTTGGGTATGCAGTTAACAAGCTTATAAAATTCTAGTAAAATAGGTGCAAGCTTTGAGCGGCTAAAAAATCGCATTGATTGTTAATAATTTTTTTTTTGTTGACAGCGTTTTGGACTTTTTTCCAGGGCTACAAAGCGGTTCTTGAACCGAAGCGTCGCTTTTTTCGGGCTTCGAACCGAACCACGAACCGAACGCTTTTTATTTTGAAATGGCAAAACCGAACCGAAATGGTATCTGTGAGTAATAATTTCGCCCATATAAAAAATTATTGAAATGGTTTTATATGGAAGAAAATGCACATAAAAGTATAAACAGACGGCAGCGTTGGTCCGGATCAACTCGGGAAT